AGCGGGGGGTTTTAGACAAAGTGAATGAAGACTAAGGGTTTTTTGGAAAATTGACGAGCTTTTTGGGGTATGAAAGGGAAATATTTATAAAGGGTTTCGGGGAAACCCCGTTATTTTTAAAAACCCGGGATCGAGTTCTGGAAAGGGGAAGTAAAATGATGCATTTTAAAAGGAGGGTTTTGGGGAAATTTTGGGGCATTTTGGGGGATGTGTAATAGGCCCTGATATTATATTCTCTAGGTAGTTTATTACAATATGAAAAGTGACCTGAAATAATATATCTTTATATATGCTTCTCAACTGTTGTATCTGGGCACCTCTGCAAAAACAGTTATTATGTATGAGTGAGGTAAAAGTGTCGAATGATGAAAGTATTTTTGTTTTGGGGATTTTCTTTCTTTTTGAGTCACTTTACGGCTGACTTGTTGAAAAAAAAATCCTTTTGTTCCCTAGGCTTTCTCAACTTATTTATCTCACTCTAAAACTTTTTCTTATTTTCAACAAAATTTGTTGATAACATCTCACCCACTCCTCTTGCTCTTTTTTTACTTTGGTTCCCCCACTTTTAACCTCTCTTTTTCTTTCCATATACTCCCCCTTCCTTGCATCACTTTACTTTGAAAAAAACCCTCTCAATGCTAACTTTTTCTCTCTGACTACTCTTTTTTACATCAATTCCACCAAATCTTCTTCCCCCCCTGCACCCTTTTTGGGAAACCCACAAACTTTTGTAAACACCTAACATTTTTTTTTAAACTTACCTAACATCTTTTACTGCATTGTCTATACTCTCACTACCCCATCTGTCCCCCAACATTGCTTTATCTTACCTAACTGCCTCCTCCTTTAGTTTATAAACCTTCACCTCTCTCTTACTAGCTGCTTCCATTTTCCTTGTATCCCATCTACCTTTTACTCTCACTGTAGATACAACTAAAGAGTGATCTGATATATCTGTGGGCCTTCTATAAAGTGTACACCTGAAGTCACCCAACGTTTGTATCTACCAATACGAAACCCAAAAAATATTGTCATTATGCCCTATATCATATCTTGTATACTTATTTATCCTCTTTTTCTAAAAATATGTTACCTATAACCAAACCCTTTTCTATAGAAATTAATCAAATGCTCCCCATTATCATATACACCTGCAACCCAAACTTACCCACCATACCCTCTCTAAATGCTTCTCCTACTTTTGCATTTAGGACCCCTACCAAAATTACTCTCTTGGTTCAAAAATTCCTACACACCCGCTTAAATTCCCAATCTCAATCAAACAATCTCAATCAAACAATCTCTCTCTTCTCTCTCAATCTCTCTCTCTCTTCTCAATCTCTTCTCAATCTCTCTCTCTTCAATTCTCTCTTCCCCCAATCCTCTCTCTCCCCAATCTCTCCTCTCAATCTCTCTCTCTCTTCCTCTCTCTTTCTTTCTCTCTCCTCTTTTCTCTCTCCTCTCTCTCTCTCTTTTTTTCCTAACTTCTTTCTCTCCTCTCTCCTTCTCTCTTATATAATTAATATATAAAATATATATTTTTTTTTTTTTTTTCAACAAGTCGGTCGTCTCCCACCAAAGGGCGGGGGTGACCAAAAAAAAAAAAAAAACCCCCAAAAAGAAAATTTACTTTCATCTCATTCAACACTTTCACCACACTCACCTTTAAATCACTGTTTTTTGCAAGGTGCTCAGAATATAACATTTTAAAGCAAAAAGTATAGAGTACACAACAACCCCTCCAAATCCCAAAATCCCAAACCCCCCTTTAAAGTGCGGCATTGTACTTCCCCTTTTCCCCAGGACTCAAGCCGACTATATAAAAATAACCAGTTTCCCTAACCCCTTCACTAAATATTCCCCTGCTCACACTCCAAAATTCGTCGGGTCCCAAGGCCCAGGGGGGGTCTACCGTCTGCCAAAGTGAGTTAAAACAAAGCCTGTAATTTTTTTACATGATGGTAGGTTTGTGGTGTTTTTTGTCTGCTCATAATATGAAAGTTTAAAGGAAAGTCTTGCAAATTCTACTTCACTTAGGTCACATAACATAAGTAAAAGATAATATAAACCCCCCTCTGGGTTTTCTTCTATTTTCTTTCTAATTCTTGTTCTTGTTTATTTCCTCTTATCTCCATGGGGAAGTGGAACAGAATTCTTCCTCTGTAAGCCATGCGTGTCGTAAGAGGCGACTAAAATGCCGGGAGCAAGGGGCTAGTAACCCCTTCTCCTGTATATATTACTAAATTTAAAAGGAGAAACTTTAGTTTTTTCTTTTGGGCCACCCCGCCTCAGTGGGATACGGCTGGTACGTTGAAAGAAGAAGAATATATATATCTCTCTTCTCCAGGGCATACACACTTATTATGATCCACTTTTCACATCCAACCCTTATTTTAATCCACATAATCCTTGAATTTATACATAATCTTCTCTGTCCATAACTGATCCTTGAAAGAAAATGATACATAGAATAAGCAGAGAAATTTTTCAAGAAGAGATGCTCAACTTTTTAATTACAGATACTAGAGCAACACCAATACACTATCTAGAAACAATAAGCTACTTTAAAACCATAAATATAGGTGTATATACAGCTACCTGATCCCCAACAACCCACCACAGTACTGTTGAAAACTGGGGGAAACAGATCAGTTAAAATAGGAATGGCTACAGTGTGATTTACTATATAAAACAACTATACAAAGCCTCCTTACAGGTAAGGGATTAAGAATTTAATATAATTGGGACTTCACTTGTATTACCAACTTGTAAACTAATACAAGAATAATTAACCAATCAATTGGAAAGCAATATTTAAGTACTTGTATAAAAAAATGCATTATATTCTAAAATAACTTCTGAGAAACATTACACAAAATTATATTTGTATTTAGTAACTTTAAAAGTAAATATTAAAATTATGTTATGTATTGTATTCCTAATTTAGGTATACCTGTACCTAACAAAAAATAGATCCTATTTCAAAATCACCATTTAACTGTAGAGATTACCTCAGCAATATCCATGGCAAACTTAAGAAGTGTGGCATCCTTCAAGTGTTCCTTATGACTCTTGATATAATCCTTGAGTGAGCCCATTGGTAGATACTCCATTACCATGTACATTTCTTCTCCCTCTGACTCTACAAGACCACACAACTCAACTATATTTTTGTGCTTCAACTTCTGCAAAATATATTACATTTAAGAAATTAATATGGTTGTTCCTTTGAACATGTGTGTGTAAGTGCTCAGGTAATTCTACTTTTTATTATATTTGCAGTCATTATATTTATAGTAACTTCTCATTGTTGTATATAAAGTTTTAATGACAATGGAATATGCTACATTATAAAATACAAAATTGTTTAAATCAAACATTTACAGTAAATTGTTACAGTAAGCAAATTTGTATCAGTGATATCAAGTATATATACTTTAATAAGAATCAGTGTGTTAATTTTTTAACAAATTCAAGAATGCAAATTTTTTACTATAAAAAACATAAAATGCCATGTTTGAATCCCATACCATTCAGGGAGTTGTTTATAATTGTATAATTACAATTTTGCAAGTCATAACACTACTACCTCCTAGTATCTATTTACTGCTAGGTGACCAGGGGTAGCAGGTAATCACACTGACTCTTAACTGTTTAAATGGTACCAAAGTTTAAAAACAGAAATGGAAAGGGATCTGATTCACCAGAAAAAAAAAATTGAAGTGAATGATGATTATTTAAAGAGAACAACTTTACATACCTTCATTATATCCACTTCTCTCTTAAAATCATCCACTTGACCTACAGCTTTGAGTGTCTTAATGGCCACCGTCTTAGTGTGTCCCTGATCATCATTCATCAATCCACGGTACACCTCCCCATAGTTGCCCTGTTGATAACGCGAGTATTATCACTATATTCTTGCAGCAGCTCTAAACCCATAGAGGTTACCTGAAGAGTGGGAGGTAATAACATTTACTCCAAATTAGGGGAGCAAAACTCCAGTTCTTTGGATCTATAGTTCTTCACAAGCATCAGGACATCCCTTCCTCCTTGAAGATAACATTAATATAGTTGTATACACACTTTACATTTGTTGTCACAACTGCATAAAAATTTATTATTATGATTACAATTTAAGTTAAGAATCATTACTAAAATTTTTGCACAGTGAAATTGGTATATAAATTTAATTTTATTTTTATTTTCTAATAGAAAACTATGTCACTCTACCTTGGTAGGAGATGGCCGGTGTGTTAAAAAAAAATATGTAATGAATTCAGTAGGCAGACACATTTTAGGATTAATAATCTTACCTCCCCAATCTTTATGCCAAATACAATAGCAGATTTATCCAGTTGTAGTGGCTGACTAGGCAAGGCAGGAACCTCAGGCATACGTTGAGCAGCCAGTGGAGGAAGCAGTAACTCGGTCAGTGTTTTCATCGTGCTGAAAGCAATCAAATAAATTATAAAAAAAACTGGCAGAGGACACTACTTGGCCTATCAGCCATGGATGCACTGCCATGGGGGTAGAAAATTTATCCCTACACTAAATGATGGGTTATTATCCTATACGTAAATCTTACTGGCAGTCAGATGCATTTTCTTAAACCTTCACAGTACCAATGAATATATGCTACTACAGTATTCTGAATACTACTTTTATGAATAGTACCATATTTGCTTTTTTAATTTTGTCTTATTTCTAATTTCTGCTCAAATTTTGTCATTTTCTTTAAATTTGCTGCACAATATTAATTTTTAACTTGCTGCTCAAAATTTGTCTTGTATTTTTGTTTGGTTGTATCACTCTTATTTGCTTCATGTGTCTCACTTGCACACCAATAATTTTTTTTTATTAACACCGGCTGTTTCCCACCAAGGCAGGGTGGCCTGAAAAAGAAAAACTTTCACCATCATTCACTCCATCACTGTCTTGCCAGAAGTGCGCTTACACTACAGTTATAAAAATGCAACATTAACACCCCTCTTTCAAAGTAAAAGCACTGTACTTTCCATCTCCAGGACTCAAGTCTGGCCTGCCGGTTTCCCTGAACCCCTTCATAAATATTACCCTGTTCACACTTCAACAGCACGTCAAGTCCTAGAAAACATTTGTTTTCATTCGCTCCTATCTAACACGCTCACGCATGCTTGCTGGAAGTCCAAGCCCCTTGTACACAAAACCTCCTTTACCCCCTCCCTGCAACCCTTCCTGGGCTGACCTCTACCCCACCTTCCCTCCACTACAGATTTATACACTCTCGAAGTCATTCTATTTTGTTCCATCCTCTCTACATGTTCAAACCACCTCAACAACCCTTCCTCAGCCCTCTGGATAATAGTTTTCGTAATCCCGCACCTCCTCCTAATTTCCAAACTACAAATTCTCTGCATTATATTCACACAACACATCGCCCTCAGACACGACATCTCCACTGCCTCCAGCCTTCTCCTTGTTGTAACATTCACGGCCCATGCTTTGCACCCATATAAGAGTGTTGGTATAACTATACTCTCATATATTCCCTTCTTTGCTTCCACAGACTCTTCAGTGCACCACTCACCTTTTTCCCCTCATCAATTCTATGATCCACCTCATCTTTCATAGACCCATCCGCTGACACGTCCACTCCTGAATATCTGAATACATTCTCTAATAAAACAATCCTTTTTTTTTTCCCACTCCATGTTGCTTGGTGTAAGTAAGTAATACAGTTGCATAACCTGCAGGGTAAAGTCTTAAGCAAATTTTTTTTTTTAACTACAGTATTTTGCAAGTCTTTAACACACACAAATGTGACCTGTTTCTGGGTTTCTTCTATGAGAAACTCTCCATCACCAATGCAAATGATCTAAGAAAAATTAATTTATGTTAAACCATATTATAATGAAGTTGGAAGTGCACTGACACTGACAGTACACACTAACTATACTAAACGTTATTTTAGACTCAGACTTACCTTCCCTGCTTCATTAATGGTGGGTAGAATGCTGCACCAGTTTCATACATACAAGGAGAGATTTCACCATGAAAATAAGTGGAACTGAGGGAAATAAGGTCATCAACAAGGCTGTCTGGCAGCTGACTTAATGTTACCTGCAAATTAAAAATACTCACAATTTAGTAAATTGAGGAAATACCTTCATATCACCAGTCTATTGCAATTATTAGTAATTATTTAAGTTACTACATGTACGGTACCTGCACAAAAGTTGAGTCACCTACATATACGGCTGAAAGTCAATTTACACAATAAAATAAAAATTCAATGTCATTGACCTGGTTATAACCTGGTCAGACGTTAACTCATTTTAGAGTAGGAAAATCCTGCATGTACTGGCATCAGTCACTCTGATCAGTAATTCAGACTTGGGTTGTGTGTGAGAATCACAGTGTCTGCACTCTGTGGAATAAGTGAAGATGTTGCAGTTTGGAGGGTCAACTGAATCGTGACATCCATGCACTTTATGGCAAGAAAGCTATTGAATGAGTGATGGTGAAAATGTTTGCTTCTTTGGGACACTCTCCTTTAGTTGGAAAGAACTGATGTGGTAAGAAATTCAAGCAAGTATAGGATAGAAAAAAAAAAAACTAACCCCCCGAACCCTGTCAGTGATCTTGTAGTTGGTGTATAGCAACAGCTATGCCATATTCAATTTCTATTCAGTTTTCATGATGTTCACATTTTTAGTAGACCTTTTATATAAATCTTCAGTGTTGCCAATTAAAGTTAATGATGAAATAATCATTATTCATATTTCAATTACTTGTCTCCAAAAATCAACAGAAATATGTCCAAATAATTAGTACTGCCTGAAAGTCAGCCCAAATTTATGAAATTATTTCCTCCTATGTTACTCATATGAAAGTGCATGCACTTATATAGATCACACAGAAAATGAGACTGCTCACCATACCCTATTGTTTGAAATATATAATCCTGAAATATATGTGTTCCTCATCTAAATTAGTATTTTGTAGGATTATTCTTCCTCTTGATCCACTCCTTAAGTCTCCTAGGTACTGATAAGGTTTACTTATGGAGGATAGAAAATTCAATACCCTATTACACCTGCTTAATAGGACTTGAAATTTTGGGGTTAGAGGACACATCCATGACATCTAAAAGTTTTCAGTCAGATTTAAGTCCAGTGAGTTTCCAGGAAAGCCAATGAAGTATGTAAAAATCACTAGTGCACTATATCAAGAGGGAAATGTTTTTTGTACAAAAGTTTCCCTGGCACCACTTGAATCTGTGAGGCAAATAGTCTGCGAAAGACAGACTATGTGCTTCACAGATTCAAGTGGTGTTTATACTTATGAGGCTCACTGCATTTTATACTACTGTATTATCATCTTCACAAACAAGAAAGCTCAACTCGAATCACACAGCATATAACTTAGCGTATAAAATAGCTGAAATCATTAGCAAATACCACTACCATCTACTATCCATTCTTCCTGTCCATTAAATTTATCGCTAATGCTTGCCTCTCCTCGCATAGCGACTTACTCATTTATGGACCATTATGACCAGCTCTCCAACCAAAATGCAAATCTAAGTAATGTATATTAAAGCTGATTTCTTCCATTCTGTTCATTACAGTATACAGTACAATACTGTATAAACATTTAAAAATGTACTAAAAATGTTATAGTGCAAAAGTGACATTAAAAATATCTATAGATGGGAGACACAAACCCACTACCAGTACAGTATGCTCCTTGCTTAACGACCAATTCACTTACCGACCTACTCTTAGGAAAGGAACTCAGTCGTTAAGTGAGGAGAGGCTGTATTTTGAAAATGCATTATGTTAAACATTTTTAACCCAAACCTACAAAATTACTTCAATAACAAGTTTACCTGTGCAACAGAACCATCAGCATATGTAAGTGTAGTAATCTGGGTAGTAACTGAAGCGTTGTCTTCATCTTCCTCTAATACTTCTCCATTCGGTTGATCCAAATTTTCTGTCTCAGCTGAACTGGCAGGGAAGATGGTTTGATATGCATGGTTCTTCCTCGAATTGAATACTGAAATTATAAAAAAAATACTATTTAACCCTTTGACTGTTTTGGCCATATATATAGGTCTTACGAGCCAATGTGTTTGACGTATATATACTCAAAAATTCTAGCGGCTTCAAATCAAGTAGGAGAAAGCTGGTAGGCCCATGTGTGAGAGAATGGGTCTGTGTGGTCAGTGTGCACCATATAAAAAAAATCCTGCAGCATGCAGTGCATAATGAGGAAAAAAAAAACTCCGACTGTTTTTGGATTAAAACGCTGACTTTGAGGTGTATTTTCTTATAGTTTTTATGGTTATATTCTCATTTTCATAGTCATATTTGATAGAATGGAAAACATGTTATAGAAATAGATGTGATTTTGATTGATTTTACTATGAAAAGGACCCTGAAATGGAGCTCAAAATAGGGGAAATGTTTGATTTTTGCCGATGTTCAAGAGTAAACAAATGATGTCATTGTCCAATAAATGTCCAACTAGTCATTCTAATATGCAGTCATGAATGGGTTGACATTATTTATACAATTATTACAATATTGCAGTAGTCTGCATAACAGTAAATCTTCTATTTTTTGTTTGAATAAAAATTCAAAATAGAAAGCAAGAGTAATATCAGAGGGGCTTGGAGATGTGACTTATGAACAAAGAAAATGTTATTTTAGAGCCAGGAATGTCTGCATTGTTCATTCTAGACCTTATTTTGAAATTGTCATATTTTTTAATTTTTGTGAAATTGGCCAAATTGCAAATTTCTGACCACGTTATTGGGTAGTTGAATTTGGTAAATGGGCAGTTTTTTGTACTCAATCGATAGAACAAATGGAATTCTAAAGAAATAGTTATGAGTTTGGTCGACTGGAACAATGGAATTAGCTGAAAATAGGGCTCAAAGTGAGCAAAATCGCCGATTCGTAAATATCGCCGAGGTCGCTAACTTCGCAAGAGCGTAATTCCGTAAGTTTTCCATCAAATTTCATACTTTTGGTGTCATTACCATCGGGAAAAGATTCTCTATCATTTCATAAGATTTTTTTTTTTTAAATATTTTGCGATACCAGGAGACACCTCAGGATTTGGGGTTGCAACAGTCAAAGGGTTAAGCACAAATACTAGTACACAAAATCTTGAGATTCATTTAACAAGAAAAAATATGACTAACAGAAACTTTCAGCACTTAAATTTGAGTTAAGAATAAATTTTCACTTCTTAATGACCACATCTTCCAAGAACCCAAGACAGATTTTTTAATATGCAGACCATCTCTCACTAAGTAGGGTGACTTTCTCTGCCATCCCCCCCCCCCCCCCATTCCTGAAACAATGAAATTCACCACTATTCAAAGTTATTTAAAAATCATAACTATGGTGTTAGATCAATCCAAAGCTGACGGAGAGGGTATATGATATGCAATAATAGAGATAACCTGCTCTGTTATGCTAATAACATAACCAGACAAAAATAATTTGCATAATTTCAAAAACAATTAGAAACAAAAATACAGAGAAAAACAATAAAACCCAAAATGATGATAAGCAGAATATTGTTACAATGATGATGATAATAATAAATAATTATGAGTATTATTTACATGTATATAAATACATTCTACAAAATTGGATTAATAAAGAGAGTATAGATTAAAAATTCTCTTAAGTATGCACAGCACTGTTGGCAAACTAACGTAGAACTGTACTGCCACAGCTAACTTTTACTAACTTAAAACTAGTAGTGATGCTTTTAAAAAATAAACAAAGAGGTTTGCATTAAAAAAAAATTAACATAAAGATAGGACAAGAATACATAAAAGTAAGCATAGCGCACCCTGGTAAAGTATCTGGTTGACATCTCGCATGATGGCCTGTGGTTGACGTCTGGCTTGTGGATCTGGAGACCAACAACGCAACATAACCTAGAGAAATAAATAAGCTTAAACTTGCAGTAACATGGAGTAAGCAGAACTGTGACCTACTAACCCATACACAGCACTACATGCCTGTCAGTTCAATCCCCACTTTTTAATGCATTGGTATATGCTCATCCATCTAAGTATACCTGAGAATGTTTGGATATCAAGAGATTTGCTGAAGTGTGCTACAATAATTGGTGATAATGTGTACAGCTTTCCTTAGTATGAATGGGGATATTTGAACCTGGCTGCTTACTTCATTGTTTAGAAATATTACTATGGAGTCTAAATCAGTAGTAGTTGGATCTTTGAGTTCCTCACTTTATATTGTAGATGTGTTCTCTTAGTAGCTGGACTAAAAGCTCATTTAGGTCATCAATACTGAATTCCTTATGAATAATCTTTAATATGCTTTGCAAATTGTACTGATCACATATGGTGAATGTGAATTGTATATACAAAATTACCTCTAGAAATGGGAGATAACAAAATACATGTAATGAATTTGAACAAAGTGAGGAAAGTAGAAGCTATACAGTGGATGTTATAGTTATTTAACTGAAAATTACCCAAACTCCTACCTGGCTCTTTCTGCAGCCTCTGAAATATCCTCAGTCATTAAATCATTACTATTTACAAGAAACCTGCACAAGTATTATCTCCACTTATTTCTATACTTCTCAATATGTCATTTGAAAAACACACCTTCAGAGTGTAAATGATAAAAAAAAAATTATTACTAGGATTATTAAAAATAGGGTAAAATGGTAAAAAAATCCTCTTTTGATTGTAACTTACTCTTTTGTTCATTTTAAAATGGATATTTTTCTGAAAATTAATGATTTAAACCAATTGTTTTAGTAATTTATTGTTATGCAATATTTTATTTTATAGAACTTTCCTTCTAGACACTTGACAAAAACCTTCATAAAATTATATTACCACTGTAAGACTTTTGGGATCCCACTTACAACACTGGAAAGTGATGCAAATTATCTTCAAAAGCACTAAAGTACAAGCAGTTTTATCATGCTAATTATTTTATATCAATACTCTTCACAATGAGGTTTTCCTTTTATTCTACAGCAAAAAAAAACTTGGTCTTTCATAATAAATCTCCCTCAACATGCTAAACAACGACAATGCCAACAAGCACAGTGCTAACCTTATAAAGGTCAAGAGGACATGGGTCTGGGCGAGGCAGCAAGCGGCCAGTGGCATAAAGTTTACGAACTTCTTCCATATCAGCACCTGTTGAAAAACATTGTTCAAGCTGTACCATTATCAACACACTGTGCAACCAACAACTGTGTGCTGGCTGCTTCACATGAGCCATCGGGTCACCATTGTAAAAAAATAATTAAGTTTGAAATAGTGCACTGTGAACTTTCTTGAATAAACAAATGTTTACGTACTTTTTTCCTCAGTGCACATAAACTGTAACTACTTTGTTATATAAGAGACAAACCAGTTGAAATAATACTTTAGCTAACATTTCTAATACCTGAAGACAACTGAAATATCTAATTTTTTTTTACAGTCGAGTTGACAGGCAAAGAGCTGTGATCCTACCTCAGCTTACTTCAGTGCTCAGGTCTGTCTAAGGTACAGGGGTGGATCTACTATGAAACTACTGAAGCTTAAGCTTCTGGGCCCCTAATCCTGGAGGGGCCCCAGAAGTGACTTGAGTCCACATTGCTTAAAATTTTTGGGTCTACTGTATGAGAAGGAGTTTTTAAAAAATAATATGTAATAATATAGTGTAATTCAATACAAACTAATAGTTAAAACAAAAAAAAGGTTATTAAAGTACCACGTAGGCTAGCCTATTACTGGTTGTGAAGGTGATCTCATAACAGTTCAAGCTTCAGGGACCCAAAAATGTAGGTCCACGAATGCTAAGGTATACAGCCTCTCCTCAGCGACGTACTCTTTACCGACAACTCGGACTTAAAACAGGCTCTCTGACCAGTATGCATACGTAAATAATGTATATTAGAGCTGTTTTCCTCTATTCTGTTTATTACAATTTACTGTATAAACATTTAAAAATATACTAAAAATGTTATAAATAGTACAAGGATGACATTAAAGCAATATCAGAGATGGATGACATAAACCCACTACCATTATAGTATGCTCCTCGTTTAGCAACAAATTCGTTTACCAACATGGTATTAGGAACGGAACTCTGTCATTAAGTGAAGAGAGACTGTACTATTAACCCTTTGAGGGTTGACAGGCCCTCTCCGAAACTTGTTCTCAGGGTCAGCCAAATTTCAAAAAAAAAAAAAAAAAAAAAAAATTCTTATGAAAAGATAGAGAATCTTTTCATAATGACACCAAAAGTATGAAATTTGATGGGAAACTTACGGAATTATGCTCTCGCGAAGTTAACGGTCTCGATGTTTACGCATTGGCGATTCTGCCCACTTTGAGCCCTATTTTCGGCCAATTCCAATGTACTAGTCGACAAAATCATAACTATTTCGCTAGAACTCCATTTTTTCTATCGAATGAGTACAAGAAACCACCCATTTACCAATTTCAACTATCCAATAAAGTGGTCAGAATTTAGCAATTTTGCTAATTTCATTCAAATTTCAAAAGATACCAATTTCCGAATAGGGTCCAGAATAAACAAGAAAGACATTCCTGGCACTAAAATAACAAGTTTTCTGTTCGTTAGTCACATCCCCAGGCCCCTCTTATATTTCTTTGGCTTTCCACTTTGAATTTTTATTATTACAAAAAATAGAAGATTTACTGTTATGCAGACTGCTGCATTAGTGTAGAAATGGTATAAATAATATCAGCGTACTTGTGAAAGAATATTAGACTCACCAGTTGACGTGTATTGGATGCTTGGCATGATTTGTTTACTTTTGAACTTTGATAAAAATCGAACATTTCTGCTTCTTTGCGCTCAATTTCAAGGTACTTTTCATTGTAAAACCAGTCAAAATCATCTCAATTTTTGTAATATGTCTTCCATTCTATAAAATGAGACCAAGAAAAGTAGAATACAACAATAAATACCATACGAAAATACAGTGCAAAGTCGCTGTTTTATTCCAAAAACACGGTCGAAGTTTTTTTTTCTCATTACGCACTGTGTGCTGCAGGATTATTTTTATACTGAGCACACTGACCACATAGACCCATTCTTTCATATGTAGGCCTACCAGCTTTCTCTCACCAGATTTGAGGGCGCTTGAATTTAGGCGTACTAGTACGTCAAAATCCTGGGTCGTAAGCCGTACTAGTACGGCCGAAACCCTCAAAGGGTTAATACCCAGAGAGCCACCTATAACTGACTAACAACTAGATACAGTACCTATTTACTGCTAGGTGAACAGAGGTAACAGGTGTAAGAAAATTCTCTACCCTCCCCAGTAATGAACCTGGGTCCTCAGTTGTAAGTTGAGGATTACCAATGAGCTACAAAAATTACAAATGTTGAGTTTATGTACCTGGTAATGGCATCTCGCCAAGAGAGAAGATCTGCCAGACTGTGGTGCTGAAAGCCCAAATATCAGTAGTACTGTCATTGAGGGCTAAGGGAGGTTGGAAGTGATGTTCACGAGGGATCCAGTGCAAATCCCGTTGGTCATACCTTACCAAACCTGGATCACCAAGTTTAACCTGCCAATAAATGAAAATCACTGACATAAAGAGTAAAAATAAATCTTTTTTTTAACAGCAGCTGTCTCCCACTGAGGCAAGATGCCTCAAAAAAGAGGAAACACATTCACCATTATTCATTCAATTGCTGTCTTTCCAGAAACCAGTTCAGATGATCTGAAGCACACTTACAGAAAAAATACCTAGTACAACTTTTACTATTACACAATGTTACATTATCATCATCATTGGGGGCTCATATAGTACCTCGGAAAATGGGAGAAAATCAGGCTTGATCTAAAGAAGTGGAGGGTAGCTCACATTCCTCAGATCAAAAGCCCTTCACTAACATTGTAATGGGGTAATAGGTATTTGCCTTTATGATCAGCCCAAGTGTGTCTTAATTGGGTTGATTTATCAGCAAATTACTGTCAAAAGTTTCTTATCTATTTGAGAGGTACTGTATTGAGCTTTAATTTTTGATACTACCTCATATGTATTATTCAACTATTATTATTATTATTCAGTCCATGGACTTTTGTACTTTGGGCAAAATTTGATGATTCTGACCTTGAATGTTTCATCAGTATGTTCGGCCACAAATATGTTGTGGCAGCGGATGTTGTTGTGCCGGACACCTTCCACATTAAGGTACCACAGTGCCCGGGCCAAGTACGTCGCTGCTTCCACTAGCTCTACCTGTAGCATGTATTATCATTAACTACACATGCTTCCAATTCATTATGGTGAACAACCTATCCTCATTTTGCTATGTTAATTTTCTTACAGATTCCCATTACCAATTTTTAATTTTTTTTTTTTTTTTTTTTTTTTCAACAAGTCGGCCGTCTCCCACCGAGGCAGGGTGACCCAAAAAAGAAAGAAAATCCCCAAAAAGAAAATACTTTCATCATCATTCAACACTTTCACCACACTCGCACATTATCACTGTTTTTGCAGAGGTGCTCAGAATACAACAGTCTAGAAGCATACACATATAAAGATACACAACATATCCCTCCAAACTGCCAATATCCCAAACCCCTCCTTTAAAGTGCAGGCATTGTACTTCCCATTTCCAGGACTCAAGTCCGACTATATGAAAATAACCGGTTTCCCTGAATCCCTTCACTAAATATTACCCTGCTCACACTCCAACAGATCGTCAGGTCCCAAGTACCATTCGTCTCCATTCACTCCTATCTAACACGCTCACGCACGCTTGCTGGAAGTCCAAGCCCCTCGCCCACAAAACCTCCTTTACCCCCTCTCTCCAACCCTTTCGAGGACGACCCCTACCCCGCCTTCCTTCCCCTATAGATTTATATGCTTTCCATGTCATTCTACTTTGATCCATTCTCTCTAAATGACCAAACCACCTCAACAACCCCTCTTCTGCCCTCTGACTAATACTTTTATTAACTCCACACCTTCTCATAATTTCCACACTCCGAATTTTCTGCATAATATTTACACCACACATTGCCCTTAAACAGGACATCTCCACTGCCTCTAACCGTCTCCTCGCTGCTGCATTTACCACCCAAGCTTCACACCCATATAAAAGTGTTGGTACTACTATACTTTCATACATTCCCTTCTTTGCCTCCATAGATAACGTTTTTTGACTCCACATATACCTCAACGCACCACTCACCTTTTTTCCCTCATCAATTCTATGATTAACCTCATCCTTCATAAATCCATCCGCCGACACGTCAACTCCCAAGTATCTGAAAACATTCACTTCTTCCATACTCCTCCTCCCCAATTTGATATCCAATTTGTCTTTATCTAAATCATTTGACACCCTCATCACCTTACTCTTTTCTATGTTCACTTTCAGCTTTCTACCTTTACACACATTCCCAAACTCATCCACTAACCTTTGCAATTTTTCTTTAGAATCTCCCATAAGCACAGTATCATCAGCAAAATGTAACTGTGTCAATTCCCATTTTGAATTTGATTCCCCAAAATTTAATCCCACCCCTCTCCCGAACACCCTAGCATTTACTTCCTTTACAACCCCATCTATAAATATATTAAACAACCATGGTGACATTACACATCCCTGCCTAAGACCTACTTTTACCGGGAAATAGTCTCCCTCTCTTCTACACACCCTAACCTGAGCCTCACTATCCTCATAAAAACTCTTTACAGCATTTAATAACTTACCACCTATTCCATATACTTGCAACATCTGCCACATTGCTCCTCTATCCACTCTATCATATGCCTTTTCTAAATCCATAAATGCAATAAAAACTTCCCTACCTTTATCTAAATACTGTTCACATATATGCTTCAATGTAAACACTTGATCTACACATCCCCTACCCACTCTGAAGCCTCCTTGCTCGTCCGCAATTCTACATTCTGTCTTACCTCTAATTCTTTCAATTATAACCCTACCGTATACTTTTCCTGGTATACTCAGTAAACTTATTCCTCTATAATTTTTACAATCTCTTTTGTCCCCTTTCCCTTTATATAAAGGGACTATACATGCTCTCCGCCAATCCCTAGGTACCTTCCCCTCTTTTATACATTTATTAAACAAAAGTACCAACCACTCCAACACTATATCCCCCCCTGCTTTTAACATTTCTGTCATGATCCCATCAGTTCCAGCTGCTTTACCCCCTTTCATTTTACGTAATGCCTCACGTACCTCCCCCACACTTACATTCTGTTCTTCTTCACTCCTAAAAGATGGTATACCTCCCTGACCAGTGCATGAAATTACTGCCTCTGTTTCTTCCTTAACATTTAAAAGCTCCTCAAAATATTCTCGCCATCTACCTAATACCTCCATCTCCCCATCTACTAACTCCCCTACTCTGTTTTTAACTGACAAATCCATATTTTCCCTAGGCTTTCTTAACTTGTTTAACTCACTCCAAAATTTTTTCTTATTTTCATTAAAATTTCTTGACAGTGCCTCTCCCACTCTATCATCTGCTCTCCTTTTGCACTCTCTCACCACTCTCTTTACCTTTCTTTTACTCTCCATATATTCTGCTCTTTTTATAACACTTCTGCTTTGTAAAAACCTCTCATAAGCTACCTTTTTCTCTTTTATCACACCCTTTACTTCATCATTCCACCAATCACTCCTCTTTCCTCCTGCACCCACCCTCCTATAACCACAAACTTCTGTCCCACATTCTAATACTGCATTTTTAAAACTATTCCAACCCTCTTCAACCCCCCCCCATTACTCATCTTTGCACTATCCCACCTTTCTGCCAATAGTCGCTTATATCTCACCCGAACTTCCTCCTCCCTTAGTTTATACACTTTCACCTCCCTCTTACTTGTTGTTGCCACCTTCCTCTTTTCCCATCTACCTCTTACTCTAACTGTAGCTACAACTAAATAATGATCCGATATATCAGTTGCCCCTCTATAAACATGTACATCCTGGAGCCTACCCATCAACCTTTTATCCACCAATACATAATCTAATAAACTACTTTCATTACGTGCTACATCATACCTTGTATATTTATTTATCCTCTTTTTCATAAAATATGTATTACTTATTACCAAATTTCTTTCTACACATAGCTCAATTAAAGGCTCCCCATTTACATTTACCCCTGGCACCCCAAATTTACCTACTACTCCCTCCGTAACATTTTTACCCACTTTAGCATTGAAATCCCCAACCACCATTACTCTCACACTTGATTCAAAACTCCCCACGCATTCACTCAACATTTCCCAAAATCTCTCTCTCTCCTCTACACTTCTCTCTTCTCCAGGTGCATACACGCTTATTATAACCCACTTTTCACATCCAATCTTTATTTTACTCCACATAATCCTTGAATTAATACATTTATAGTCCCTCTTTTCCTGCCATAGCTTATCCTTCAACATTATTGCTACTCCTTCTTTAGCTCTAACTCTATTTGAAACCCCTGACCTAATCCCATTTATTCCTCTCCACTGAAACTCTACCACCCCCTTCAGCTTTGTTTCACTTAAAGCCAGGACATCCAGCTTCTTCTCATTCATAACATCCACAATCATCTCTTTCTTATCATCTGCACAACATCCACGCACATTCAGACTTCCCACTTTGACAATTTTCTTCTTCTTATTCTTTATTCTTATTTTTATTTTTTTAATATTTCCTGTAAATCCACAGATACTGTTTTCTTTAAGTTATATTAGGTTAGGGTAAATAAATTCATAACATTGTATATTTACCACAAATATGCAAATTTTAAAGGGTAGTAGGTAGGATGGTAGACAGCAACCACCCAGGGAAGTACTACCATCCTGCCAGATGACTGTGAAACAGAAACCTGTAACTGTTTTACATGATGGTAGGATTGCTGGTGTCTTTTTCTGTCTCATAAACATCCTGGATAACAGGTATATCTTGCTACTTCTACTTGCACTTAGGTCACACTACACAGGCACACACATGCATATATATACATCTAGGATTTTCTTTTTTCTAAATAGTTCTTGTTCTTCTTTATTTCCTCTATTGTCCATGGGGAAGTGGAAAAGAATTTTTCCTCCGTAAGCCATGTGTGTCGTATGAGGCGACTAAAATGCCAGGAGCAATGGGCTAGTAACCCCTTCTCCTGTAAACATTTACTAAATAAGAGAAGAAGAAAAACTTTATAAAACTGGGATGTTTCAATGTGCGTGGATGTAGTGTGGATGACAAGAGATGACTGCTAATGTTATGAATGAAAAGAAGTTGGATGTCCTGGCCCTAAGCGAAACAAAGCTGAAGGGGGTAGGGAGTTTCAGTGGGGGAAATAAATGGGATTAAGTCAGGAGTATCTGAGAGAGTTAGAGCTAAGGAAGGGGTAGCAATAATGTTGAAGGATCAGTTATGGAAGGAGAAGAAGGAATAAAAATGTGTGAATTCAAGGATTATGTGGATTAAATAAGGGTTGGATGCAAAAAGTGTGTCAAAATAAGCATGTATGCACCTGGAGAAGAGAGGAGTATAGAGGAGAGAGATTTTGGGAGATGTTAAATGAATGTACAAAAACCTTTGAACCAAGTGAGAGTAATTGTGGTAGGGAACCCAAATGCTAAAGTAGAAGAGACATTTAGAGAGGGTGTGGTAGGTACGTTTGGGGTGCCAGGTGTAAATGAAAATGGGAGCCCTTTGATAGAACTTTGTATAGAAAGGGGTTTAGTTATAAGTAATACATATTTTAAGAAAAAGAGGTTAAATAAGTAAATGTATACAAGGTATGATGAAGGGCATAATGACAGTAGTTTGTTGGACTATGTATTGGTAGATAAGAGACTGCTGAGTAGACTTCAGGATGTACACATTTATAGAGGGGGCCACAGATATATCAGATCACTTTTTAGTTGTAGCTACAGTGAGAGTAAAAGGCAGATGGGATACAAGGAAAATAGAAGCATCAAGTAAGAGAGAGAGGTGAAAGTTTATAAACTAAAAGAGGAGGCAGTTAGGATAAGATATAAACAAACTATTGGAGGATAGATGGGCTAGTGAGAGTATAGGCAATGGGGTCGAAGATGAATGGGGCAGGTTTAAAAATGAAGTGTTAGTGTGTTCAGCAGAAGTTTGTGGTTACAGAAAAGTGGGGGCAGGAGGGAAGAGGAGCGATTGGTGGAATGATAGTGTTTCAGAGACGATCATTTGTGAAAAGGCATGTGGATCTTGACAGAATATTATTCAATGG